TCTCAAGTTTTCATTTATTTTACATTCTTCCTTAATACCTTAATAATGGTTGGATTGTTTATATAAAATTCATCTTCAATTTATTTGGTCGCCGGATATGTTAACCTGGTGTCTTTGTAAATGAAGCGGAATGATTGGGCACTCTCCTATCAAACCAGCTAACAATTTTGATTGTATATGGATCAGGTACACTGAGGATGGCTCGAATGTAAGCCGAAACGTCTGATTTTTTTCGTATTTAATAAATAATTTGCTTGCACGACTTACAGCAAAAAACTCTCATTAGCCTGTTCTGTTTATATTTAAAAAAAAATGATTTTCCCTTCCAAACCAATTCCAGCCCTATTTTCCGTATTATCGAAGTAAGAATATTTTTTTCACAAAATGTGTGAAATCTTTAAATTGCGCCAATTTTTAATAGATAATACATTTCGTTGAAACAGCAATGTAGTATAACTATTTTTAAACAATAAAACTCAAGTCGTATTTTTGAATCTTAAAAAATAGTAATCATTTTTTAAGATGAATTAAATCTTCTGGCTTATAACCTAAATGTTATGTATTCTATATTTTTGCCTATAAAAAGTGCGTAAAATTAAGGGTATTTGATAGAAAAAAAAATTTTTAATATAAAAATATTTGGCGCCGCTGGCAAACCTGGCTTAATCTAACACAACAGCGGCGCCAAGTCTTTTTACATTAAAAATTATTTATTTCAACTAAATCCTTATTTTCGTGCATTTTTTAAAAATAAAGAAGATATATATTATTTAGGTTAAATTAGAAGATTTCATTCAACTTAAAACATGAGTATTATTTTTTAAGAAAAATTATAAGTAGAAGTTTTATTGTTTAAAAGTAATTATACTACTACCTGTGCTTTATCATTCAAAAGTATTATATTAATGTTTCAACGAAATGTATTCTCTGATTATAATTGGCACAATTTAAAGATTTCACATATCTTTGAAAAAAATTATTATTATTTTGATAGTTCGAAAAATAAATTTGGACAGATTTGAAACAAGAAAATCATTTCTTTTTCAATATAGCACATATACAAATGTGTATACTTCGCGCCTCTTTTACCAATTTATAAAAAAGATTATTTTGTCGTATATTTTACCTCATTTCTTAGACATTACAATATTTAGAAGAACTATTAAAAAACTTTTAAAGAATTGTTTTCTGATTGACATTTCGATCTTTCCAAAAGGCATTTTCCCACTTAAAGTTTCACCAAACTATTAATTTTAGCATCACCATTAGCAAGAAAAAGGAGAATCTTTTGAAAGAAAGGGAGATACTCATTGGCGAGATGGAGATTATGCGACAACGCATGAAAAATATGTCCTGTTACGCAGAGGAGCTTGAGCAAAAAAGTAACGAGGTCAATCAACAAATGACAGAGATGCAGGAAATCATTAGCATGCAATTGAATGAAATCTCGCGAGAAAAAGGTGTTCGAGAGAAATTTGAAATGGAGGTGCGACAACTTCAGGAAGAAATTATTATAAAGAAAAACGAACTGGAGGTAAAGTGTTCGTAAAAGATTATTATTAATAAAGCCCGGACTATCCGCCGATCGACGTACCGATTTCAGTGACTGTAGCGTATTCTTCATGATTCTCCCCACTACCACTCGTCCGAAGCCGTGACGAGCGACGGCGGTGAGGGATGAAATATAGTGGGGAGAACTAAATACGGTTAATGCGATCTTTAATCCGGACTCTAATTATTGAAAACTGGAAGGATAATATGAACTTACTTTTATCCGTCATGTATATTTAGATATACAGGGTGTTCGAAAAGAATGGTATTTTCCTAGGATCTCCAAAAGCACTTTCAAGGAAAATGACCCTAATAAAAGTTGCAGAAATCATGAAGATATATCTTTTGATGATCTTGAACTTAACCTTGAATAATGGTTTGAAGGTCACATAAAGGTCACTTTTAATTTTTTAAATGGAATCCCCCATTTTTCATTAAATATTGTAGCTAACCTCGAGAGCTTTTCAAAATATGATAATAAAATATTTTTCCATGAAGTACATTTTGAGTTATAAGGCTTGAATGTTATAGTACCGTCGGCATTAGCATTACGCAAGGTGTCCGACCGATGGCTAAAAACCTTTCGAATATTTTCAGAATTATGTCCTGAATAATATTTGTTGAGATTAAAGTCATTGGAGGTTGTTCCTCTTATTTTCATTTTTATGTAGAAATGAATTTTTAGAGCAAATAAAAAAGTGAAAATAAAATATAAAACCTCCAATGGATATGATCTAGACAAATGATATAGGACATGATCCTGAATAACATTTAAGATGTTTCAATCGTCGGTCAGACACGTTGCGTAATGCTAAATACTGTAACTTTTAAGCCTTATAACTTGACATGTACTTCGTGGAAAAATATTTTATTACATTATTTTGAAAAGCTCTCGAGATTAACTACGAGAATTTGTAATGAAAATGAGGGTTTCATTTAAAAAATTAAAAGTGAATCTTTATGTCACCTTCAAACAATTATTCAAGGTCAAGTTCAAGGTCATCTTCAAAAGGTAGTCCTTCATGATCTCTACAACTTTTATTCGGATCATTTTCCCTGAAAGTGCGCACTTTTGTAGATTATAGGGGGTGATCCCGATTGATCATTGCTCGATTGGACACCACCAATCACAGCGACCGGTACTTAGGAGCTTTGTAGTCTCAAGCGCTGTGAGTGGCTCGTGTCCAATTGAGCCGTGTCCAACTGGGTGCCACCCGATTATAGGAAGGTCCTATTTTTTTTAACACCCTGTACAATTGTATAACAGTAGGTTATTAATTGCTCTATTATGTACAGGGTGTACGGTAATGACTACGTCACTAAAGGTCGAGAACTATCGATGGTCTATCGACAGTTATCGAATATTATACTATCGAATACTATCGATAGTTTTAGTTACTATCGATAATTTTTTATAATTTTGAAGGTTTTAAGAGAGTCGACACACAGACTTCTACAGGGTGAGTAAAAAGTCCCGAACCGGTACAATACTTCGAAAACTAAACATTTCCGAAAGAAATGTTTCTTACAAAAATTGTAGGGTTTTAAATGATCTATTCACTGACCTGACCTTGGGTGGCGTCGCCAAGTTCAGGTAAAGGTCACATCAATTTTTTTAAATGGCACACCCTATTTTTGACTCCAGAATCTAATAGCTGGTGTCAAGAGCTTTTCAAAACACTACAATAAAGTTATTTTTCATGAAGTACTTTTAGAGTTACGAGGCTTGAAAGTTACGGCACCACTAGCATTTCCACATGCTTAACATTACCCAGGACGAACGTGGCGAGGCTTTCATCCTTTTGGGGTGTTTAATTTACGTGAATCCCCTTACCTCTCACGTGTGTGTGCATGTGTGTGCGTGCACGCGCGCGTTAATTTCAAAATCAACAATTATAGGAATGATTCAACATTTTACTGAAACAGGTAGCATGAAAGACTGCCCGTGTAGTGACTAAAAAATCATAGATTTCATCTCTATGATATGCATTATGTGCTAGAGTCGATAATGATTATATTAGATGTTTAAAGTGCCTTCCTTCCACCGTTTGACAGTGTGTTAGCCTTTGAAAAAATTTCTGATATTTCTCAACATATTAACAATTATTAAACTTTCGTCAGTTATTCTCTGCTTCAATTCTGCCACACTCGCAGGTTTTGTTTTATAAATATGTTCTTTTAACAATCCTCATAAAACAAATTTAGTGGTGTCAGATCGGGCGACCTTGGAGGCCACTCAATTTTTCCACGCCTCCCAGTCTATCTGTTCGGAAAAGTTTCATTCAGTAACCTTCGTACCCTTAATCTAAAATGCGCTATAGCTTCATCTTGCTGAAACCATTTGCGATTGAAATCGTACGAATGGATAGAGATTTCAAATAGTTGGAATGATTTGCTTAATTAGTATTGCTTCGCATATCTCAGAATTGAGGTTTCTATCGAGGAAAAATGGATCTATTAAATAATCTCCAATTATTCCTGCCCAGACGTTGATTTTATCAGGATATCGAGATTTGTTATCTGTCACGTCCAGGACGCGAGTGCGAATACCCCTCGGACGCGGCGTGGGCCCGTCCAACGACGGCTCGGCGTGATTCTCGCCCCGAGCGGCAAGGGCGGTAATCACGGTTACCGGAGTAAAAGGAGGGAGGTCGACGGTCACAAAATGATTACATGGAAACGCTAATTCGCAGAGTTCAAGACGTTCGTTTATTTATACTTTTCATTATATCCGGGGTGGAGCGGAACAGAATCGTATGCACTTTACGACAGGACTTGCACTATTGTTAGCGACAGGCGGCTAG